TATAGTATATATAGTATATAGTATATATATATATATATATATATATATATATATATATATATATATATATATATATATATATATATATATATATATATATATATATATATATATATATATATATATATGTGTGTGTGTGTGTGTGTTAGGCTTCGTTGGTGAACTTATTCATCCATACAGATATGTATGCACGTGTACGGAATGAATTTTCTTTAGTTTTATAGTTACAATGCTTGGCAAGATTGTATTCACGTAAGTTGTCAGGCGAGATAGGCTCATTTTTATACCCAAGTCCGTGCCCAGAGACACTCTTGAGTTTTGTTCTAAGTTTTTTGTGTGGTAAATTAGCGTACCAATGGAAGTTCAGGTAACCCACAGAGTTTATTTCTATTTGAATTGGCTAGAAGCTTTGTATTCCTATATTTGAACAGTTGCAGTGTCGCCACATCTCAGTCTGATGTGCAGTTCTGTACTATTTCTGTCGCAGGACCTTCTCTCGGAAAGAATTCGGGTTTGCAAACCCCTCGCCGCGCATTGGGCGATCTAGGAAACAAGGTAGACGCTGACTTTTACAAACTATTGTCAAAGTTCTCTGAGTGTAGTGTAACTAGGAAGTGGACGCTGACTTTTACAAACTATTGTCGAAGTTCTCTGAGTGTAGTGTATCTAGGAAATAATGTGGACGCTGACTTTTACAAACTATTGTCAAAGTTCTCTGAGTGTAGTGTATCTAGGAAATAATGTGGACGCTGACTTTTACAAACTATTGTCAAAGTTCTCTGAGTGTAGTGTATCTAGGAAATAGGGTGGACGCTGACTTTTACAAACTATTGTCAAAGTTCTCTGAGTTAGTGTATCTAGGAAATAAAGTGGACGCTGACTTTTACAAACCATTGGTTAAGTTTTCTGAGTTTAGTGTCCGTGTGGATCGATGTGTGAGTAATGGAGGGCGGCTATGTTGTGATGATTTTCACGAATATCTGTGAGTTGGATTGTTGTTGTAGGACGAACAAAATAAACTGGACTATTGATATCCCAGTAGGTGAAAGAGGGTGCGGTAGGCAGTATGTCTGTGCTATATGTGTGGTCAATCGATAGTTCGCATTAGTTATCTACTGCGAGGTGTAGTGAGATACAGCAAGTATTCACTCTGCAGGATGGACTTCCGAGTGCGAATTCATTGGGACAGAAACATATAATAGAGGTTATATATGATGATGCTGAGAGTGTAGTGGTGCGTGTAGTCGACGGTACATGTATGTTTGGTCAAGGCAGTAGCATTCGTGAGCGAAGTGAGATGTGAGTGACTGGCTATCGGCTCTTAACTAAGGAAGGTGGGCGTTATCGTTAACGTCTAAAGTATTTCAACACACTATCCGGCATGTTGTGTTATTTAAATGGGGTTGTTTTGTCTACTCAGTCCACGCTCCGACTATCTGCCATACTCATCACTCTCCCTGAACATCTGTACCAATCTCATACCCACTCACAACAGCAAGGGCCCGGGGGAAGCACTGTTAAGCGCGGGTTTGGCAAGGACTTGACCAACCAGTCCTCTCAGGCGAATAATGGGAGCGTGAAGAAAAGAACCGGTGACAGTACGAAGGAGAACCACGGCAGCATCAGGAAACACAGTGAAGGTGCCAGGAAGAAGGGACTGACGACAAGCAGGGCATCAAAGACGGTGGGTATTGGTTTGTATATGAATAGGTCGAGGCATGTCTGTTTAAGACGTGTACCAATGGTGTAGGAGATTCCACTGCCGCATCACTTGCATTGTCTCACTCGAAAGTAGTTTCTTGGACATACTTGCACCCTTATAACACTCTAACGTAGTTCGTTGGTGATGATTGGGTTTGGGTGCTGGTGCATTGCTATGTATCTGTGCTCTTGCTGTCCTGCTTATTCCTACCTACTTGCGCCCCTGTCCTCTCGGATTACCAGATACTTTCGCTATCTCCTTCAAAAGGCGTAAAGCACCTGAAAAAAGACACACAATCGACCAAGGCCCCAAAGTTAAGCACCATGACACCGCAGGCCGTTGTGGAGGACAAACAGTTGGGTAACTCGTGGGAGATCGAGTACGCGCCCAAACCTGAGGCTGACGTGGACGGTAAGCAGGACCTGTGCATTATATGAGTGTGGTACTTGCACCTGCGGAATGATCTTTGGCCTAAAATGCACCTCCAGACGTATCTTTCGGACTAGCACTACCGCTACAATGATTGTGAGTGTATTCCGTTCAGTAAGAGCTATCCATGAATTACATCCACCAGACTCACTCGATCGCTGGTTGATGTGTGGCTGCGGCCGTAGTACAACGCCTCGACCAAAGACTATCATGTACTATCAGGTGTCAGACTCAACCCCCGGCTTTTTCAACTGCATTCCGTTACAGATCCAATCACATCGGACCACGGGCAGTACATGGAGGCCCTCATAAAGCCCTTCAAGCGCACGTTATCACCCCCTGGACCATCACCACGCGCATCGCTCACTGCGCCAATGCGCACTGTGTGTCGCGATGATTTATCGTCCGACGATGACGCCCCGTCCGCATATGGCCACTTTGCGACTTCTATAGGTACTTACCTACCAATGTGTATTCTGTATGCATTGGCGCAAATTACCGAATCACACACATATATATATACATACATATATATTTATAAATAAATAT